TCCAAGGTCACCAAGCTGGCTTTGTGCCTAAGGTGGGACTAGAATTCACCATCTCCTGGTTTCTAGCCCAGTGCCTTCACCACTACACCAAACTGACTCTCAGTTGGGCTTAACTAAATGGAATTTACATGCACAGAGACAGTATACTTTGGATGAGGAAGCACCTGAACTATGGCTGGAGCAAATTGTTGGACAAAGTGAACCTAGTCTAATCCAGCAAAGCATTTCTTGTGTCCTTTTGGTTAAGAGCTCTTAGACCTAAAAGCCTTTAGACTTGATCTCTGTAATTGTGTCACATCCATCATGGAAGTTGCTCAGCAAATGGAAATATGTGCCTTCTTTGTGATTTAGCAATACATCATTATGTTACATCAGTCTAAAGTAAACATTTGCTCAGATGAATTCCTATCTTAGCCAGGAATAAGTAAAAACCGCACTACTGCGGGTTTATGGAAACCAAATCATGCCTTCCAGATTAGAGATGGGTTCCAATGTGTCTGCTGCATTCACAAGCCACAAAATAACCTTAAATGGCAAATCTTGTTTCTAGAAGGCTACACGCAACATTCTGTGAGCAGGCTTTGTAATGGGATTTCCCCTTCCTCTGCATCTGCTTGTGCATGCCCCAGGGCTGCTCTGGAGGACCCCCCCCCAACCCTTGGGAACAGATTTGGGATGAGAAGTAAATAGAGAGAGAGGAATGGGATCATGGCATGCATGGAAGTGCCAGGATACCATGGTTTGGCATGTATCAAACATATTTTAGTTAATGGGAATTTTAACAAGATGTTCGTGTTACCTACTCTGTATTCTGCACATATGACCATACTTCTTTTTCTCTCTGTTTTGTCCCTGTCTGTCTCTCTCACACATTCACTCTTCTTAGTCTTTGAGGCTCTTAAATGGTAAAAATCCCTACCATTGGCCTTGGTGGCTAAGATTGCAAGAGCTACAGTTCTGCAACATCAAGGAGGCCATTCTTTTCCTACCCGCAATAATGCCTTGCCTTGACATGGCTATTTTAGTTGAAGGAGCCTTCCAAAATCTGGGTAGTATAATGATACATGCACACCACTGATATATACACTACAGTGCATCTCATCCATAAAGGCTTTTCTTTTCTTTTCTTTTCTTTTCTTTTCTTTTCTTTTCTTTTCTTTTCTTTTCTTTTCTTTTCTTTTCTTTTCTTTTCTCTTTTCTTTTCTTTTCTTTTCTCTTTTCTTTTCTTTTCTTTTCTTTTCTTCACAAATATCCTTGCAGTTCTCAGCTTCAACACAGGTAGTATGATAGGGTTACCTTCTTCCTTAGATATCCATTCAAGAATCCTATTAACTGATAGGCTTTGCATACAGATTTTTTTTAAAAAAGAAACACATCTTAATGATTGGAATATTTATATACTTTACATTAACACTTCACCAGCTGAGCCAGTCACTAGAGTAGGTTAAATTCATTCAGCTAAAATATGAACTTTTACTGCTCAAAAATAGTTTGCTTTTTATTTTCTTAAAAATATAATATAATTCCTCCCTCCCTCCCTCATACCTTAAACAGCCTATCAAGGACTCCATTACAAAGTGACCACGACCAGGGTCCATGTTAGGGGCAGGTAAAGAATTTGAACGGGTACCATGGATGCCATAACATCTACAAGGCTTAGCACATCCATTTTGCCATATCAAACACCACAAAGCCCTCAGTGCTCTCATAAAGAATTCAAATGTTACAACATAAAAGAGCATTTTTATAAAATGTTGGTATATGACTCCAGAAAACTTGTCTAGGATGTCTAAAGGTACTTCAAATTTATGTTGGAAATGTGGACAACATGATGGGTCATTTTATCATGCTTGATGGACTTGTGAAATAGCCAGAAATTTCTGGGTTCAAATACATATAATGATACAAAGAATTTTAAAGATCAACATTCAATTGAAACTAGAACTTTTCTTGCTGGGATTAATGGACAGCCAATTAGAAAAGAGCCATGGAAGATTATTTTTATATATGATTATGGTTGTGAGACTTTTATATACGCAAAAATGGAGAGACTCTGAAATACCCACAACGGAAGAATAGTTGGTGAAGATGGCAAAGATAGCAGAGGTGGCAAACTTAACTTGTTTGATTAACGAAAGTTCAACAACTACATTTATTAGTGACTGGAAACCCCTTATGGACTTTTTGCTGAAAAAAGAGAAAAACAATTTATAGGTTTGAAAATTAGAAAGGGTACTTATGGAAAGAAGGAAATTATGATGTATCTTCAGAGAGGGGGTAAAATATAAATGTGTCCATAACTGCTGTCAAGAAGACTGGAAGGCTCTTCTTTACTTTTTATTATAAATAAGTTTTATTTATTTTTTACTTTTTCCTTTCTATTTCTTTTTCTATTTTCTATTTTCTATTTTCTTTTTTCACTATTTACTATCTTTATTATCTTTTATGGTTTTTACTCTGTTAAAAATTTCTTCAGTAAAAATTATATAAAAAAAGAAGAGTATAGAAGAAATCAGCCTTCCACAATCTGGTGCCATTCAGACTGGCACCAAAACCAAGATTTGTGGTGGATCTTTGGAAAGTGGTTGTTTCCATTGTAATAATAGCTGTGGCTCATTATTTAATTTGAATTATATGTTACTGTTTTAGGGAGTGGGGTACATTGCTTTGAATTTTCCTGTGGATATTACCTATATATTTTCTATCCTTATAGGCTGCTGGGAGTCTTACAAGATTTGATGGCTTATCCATTCAGTAAATAAATAAATAAATAAATAAATAAATAAATAAATAAATAAATAAATAAATAAAATTGGATTTTATACATGTTTGCTGGAAATGATGGAAATTGTAGTCCAACACAACTGGAGAGCCCCATGTTTGGGAAAACTGATATAAGTATCTTTGTAAATAAAAGCAGTTTCTAATATAAAATCAAAATATTCATTTACCATCAGTTGTACATATGAGTGAGCAGAGAAGTCTTAAATCTAGAAGCAAGCTCCTATGATGAAATAAAAACAAAACTACATCATTTCAGAAAAGGAAAATATCAGAACTTGCCAAACTCTAAGCACCTGAACTATGAATGAAAAAGTGTGTATGAGGAGAGGGGCTTGTTTTAGTAACAGACAAGAAATATGCATAAGCCTTAGACTGGTTGCGTTACTTTGCCATTTTCAAATGAAATGAGTAATGCTAAACAGGCAACGAGGAGTCATGTTCATCTCATCTTGAATCAAAGTCATCCAGAGGCTGAAATGCAGGGTAGGGAAATAGTGGAACTTTCCCGGCTAGCAATTTATAAGGCTAATCATCTAAAGTTGGCAGAAAAGTAAACTGGCCTGAAATTTAGCATTCCCATTGTCCATCCCTACTCTACCTCAAGTCATTATAGACCCTTGAGCAGAGATTGGAAGGGAGGAGAAGGTGATGCTGAGAAAACTGGCTAAAGTAGGAGCAAATACAGGAGACCAGAGAAGAGCAGGGAAAAGAAGAAAAAATAAATAATTGGATTTAAATTGGATATTTTGTGTAGATGCAGGACATCAAAAATTACAAAACGTTATTGGGAAGGATTTGATGGAAGAGACTCAAAAATATCCACTATGAAATAAGAAGAAATGATTGAGAGAATTACAGCCCAGAGTGAGGAAGAGGAGGGGGATAGGTAGAGAACCAAAATACAGACAAAAGAGCAAGAACTAAGTTGGATTACATTCATAGCTCAGACAGATACACACACAAACCAGGAAGAAAGCAGTGAGCAAGGAGAAAAGGAAGGCATACAGCTTCAGGAAGAAGATAATAACTGTTGCCCAAGGATTTACAAGGAAGAGGTGAAACAAATACAAAAAGAGCTGGAAAAGCCAATGCTGTCTCCTGGGTTCTACATAATGGTCTAAGTTATTTTTCCTGCAGTCTCCCCCAGTCTGGTGCCCTACAATTTGTGTTAGATTACAAAAAATCTTTGACTGTGCTGGTAAGGAGATTATGGTAATTGTAGTCCAACACACCTCGGGGTTATGGGCTTGGGGAAGCTGGCCTAGGTCTTCTGGCATCAGTTTGTACCTTATTTCATGTTTCCCTTGGGGTCAACTGGTTCTTCATTTTATCTGTCCAAAAATGTTCATTTCTTCTATCTGATTGTTTTAATATTGACTTTTTTCCTTTATTAGTTTGTCACACTTTCTGTAATGTTCTTGTTTTCATCTTACAATCTCTTATCCTGACATCACTCTTCTGTTTTGAACTGTCCTGCTTATCTTTTCATTTCAACTCAGTATTACTCATATTTTTCTGTTTATTGTGTTTATTCACTTTTCCTTTTTGAAAAAAAATCTTACTGCTTTGATTGCTTAAGGGAAAGTTTTCTTTACATAATATTATTGCAGGATTTAGAGAAATCAGCAAGAGTGTCCTGTTGCTGTCATTATGTTATCTATATTTACCTTCCCTTTTCTAGCATCTTACTGATTATGAAGCTCAGGAGAAAGGTTTGTTTGAATAATGCAGGGAAGAGAGAAATCAGCAAGAATGGTCTATCAGTGTCATATCAAGCTTGTTAGCTTCCTATTCCAGTGGATGCTAGGATAGTGGTCTAGGGTTTCTTTAGTCTTTCTGATCATGCGTGATTCAGATTTGGATGGACTTGATGGTCTAAATGGCCCCTCCAACTGTATGAGTCAATGCTATAATGAATTCAACCTTGGTACAGTATACTTCTCATCATAGTCTTGCTTAGAATGCTGAGATTGCTCGTTTTTCTATATTGGCAGTGATGTCCACTTTCTGTTGAACCTCCACAACATTCATGTAACTACAGCACACAGGAAAATACTTATACAGTAGTATCATGTGTGAAAACTCTCCATGAACTAAGGAATTGTGGGCATCATCTGTGTTGCTGTTGATCTTGGATTTGTTGATTCACTTTTGTTTATTTATTTCTGCCTCAGTTTAGCACTGACCAACTGACATAATATCAATAACTGTTACAGAGATCTGAAACTGGATAATGTGTTGCTGGATCATGAGGGCCATTGCAAGCTGGCAGATTTTGGAATGTGCAAAGAAGGAATCCATGATGGGATCACTACTGCAACATTCTGTGGAACCCCTGACTATATTGCACCAGAGGTATGGGAAAGATTTTACTAATGCTAGCTTTCAGTTTTCTTTTAATGAATTTTAAAACCCCAAATTTCCATCATAGTAATGGAGTCCAAACAAACAGATTGTGTTGTGGAATCTGCTTGGCTTGGATGGTAAAATAAAATATTCAACATAAGCAAATGACTGCATAATTTGCACACTTACCATGAACTTGCTGCTTAAAGTTGCTGTGTAAAAGCATTTGGATATGTTTTCATGGACCTTATGTGTCCATGCTTATATGTCTTATATGTATATAGTAGAGATGATGTACTCATGAGAGAACTCTTCTGAGGACATAGTAGCCCACACATGGACATCTTATGATGATGTATCATAAAGGAATTGTTTTTCACATCTACAGGTGGAAATAAGTCTCTGGGCATGGGAACAGACAAGCAAATCTGATCTGAGATTTCAGAATCTGTTTTCTGGCACTTTTAATTTGTCCTTTTCTCATTTGGGACTAGCCCACACATGCATATATCTTAGGAGATATCTTGGTTTCCTTATATCTTATGCTACTTGAATTGACTTCCCTGAAAATTGAAAGACATGAAAGTTCTACCTGTGGAATTAAAAGGTGTGATTACTCATTTGTACTGGCATGTCATTGCTTGATGCTGCATTTATCAAATGAAGACCAAGCAACTGTAAACCAAAATATAGATTGGGATAAAATTGTCATTGAGTCAATATGAAAAGTTTATCTATTGTATTTTACATGTATAAGTGATAAGGTGACAAAGCAGTCATCAGGTGAAGAATAGCAAAAACTCAGAATAGTTGGAGAGCATTAATGATTTAGACCTTTTTCTTTACTTGCAGATTTTGCAGGAGATGCTTTATGGTCCTGATGTTGACTGGTGGGCGATGGGGGTACTCCTCTATGAGATGCTCTGTGGCCATGCCCCATTTGAAGCTGAAAACGAGGATGATCTCTTTGAGGCTATCCTCAATGATGAAATAGCCTACCCATCATGGCTCCAGGAAGATGCAGTGATCATCTTGAAAGCTGTATGTATATTCTTATGCTTGGCATGTTTGTTTTTTTGCTTGTAGTAGTTTCTTCTGATTAATGTGCTTTGTTAGAGATACATGAAAACACTGAGGCCAGCTTAGATTTTAAAACAATACAGAAACAAAACATTATACAAGACAAAAACAATGTGATAAAAATGCAAAGATAAAACCTTTACAAACCTTAGAAAGAGACATATCTTGGCTAGATAGAGAGTAAAAGTAATGGTAAAATCTCCAATTTGGCTTAATTCCTAGCATCTTCATAGAAAGTCCATATAATGTTGTTGGCCACAACAAGGAAACAATTTACCAGAATGTATGTTTGTTTTACGTCCCAGACTATTCCACAGCCCTGGGATTTCCTGGTGATCTAAGTCCTAACTAGGTCCCACCTTACTTAACTAGCATAGGCTAAGTGCTTTTAGCTGGGCAAAGGCAGAGAGTGCTGGGGCCAGTTTCCATTTCTGAGGAATTATATTCTGTATGATGGGAGCAATGGAGGGGAAGGTCCTGTTCTGTATGTCTCTGAAAGGCAGGTCATCTTCAGAAAGGTTTTTCCAGCTGATCTTAATGTCCTTATAGGTTTATAATCCCCCACCTCCATTCTTCTGTGATAGTAGAATGGAGCTTACTGTAGCTTGTGAATAGTTGTTTAAAAGTGCTACCAAGAGGAGTTATTTTAGTTATTGCATTTTTTATAAACTGGGGGAAGAAAGATATCATATCATTCTCTTTGCTTGCTTTTCCCTATTTTGTCTTTACAGTGCTGTGAAATACATTTTGTTAAGAAAGAGCAACTGTTCCAAAGACACAGCTAGTCACACATGTGACTGGGGGAGGGATGGTGTTGACTTCTGATTTCTCTAGTGTAGTTCCAGTTGTGTAACTGTACCACACCACTATCCTTCTTTATGACTGCTCTGGCTTTAAGTTAGAGGTGACCAAGTTGTGGTCAGAGGCACTAAGATATGCCTTGTACCCCAAAAATATTGTATGCAAACCTCCAAAAGGAAAATAATATACATAATAAAATGATGAAAATATCATGGAACCACTGAAACCTAATGATATGTTGCATGAGATTTTTGGCATTCTCTTAGGAGATCCCAAAAATCTGACAATAATGGCACCCAGGGTTTAATTAGGGCAATGGCTGGTGAATTCTGGGAGTTGAAGTTCACCCATTTGGAAGCTGCCAAGGTTGAGAAACCCTGAATGAAGGGTCACCAACCACTTCTTTAAGACAACGTCTAGCAGGTCAAATTATGTTAGAACTAGAGAAGTCAAATGCAAACCATGTAGTGCCATGAATAATATTGTCTCATGGAAAACAAGAACAAAACCAAAACAGGACAGGACAAGACAGGCAGTGACTACAGCTCCTAGTCTTGTTCTCTGAGAAGAAGGTAGCCTCTGAGACAAAATAGTCATTTTCTCTTTGGAACCATGTAACTTTCTTAAGATCCTTTGAATGGAAAGGAACAGGAGGGAAACAGGAGCGATGACTTATGCATACAAGGGGATGCTCATTCAGATCCTCCACAAAAATTCTTCTTTGCTTTTTTTCAATGATTTATTTGAATGAGCAAACTTGTAGTGGGTTTCCAAGGCCACTAATACTTCTGTCCAATAAGAAAGCCAATTTACTGGGGAAAATAACAAATGTTGTCCAAATACCACTCGTTAATTTTTAAATATTTATATTTTAAAGGGAGGCTTTTGCAGGTCTTTTCAGCCAAATCTGGGAACTTTTCTGCTTGTGCTGGAATGCAGAACAGATTCAGGCTTAGAAGGAGGTGTTCCTCCTTCCTCTATAGTTTCTGTACCAATGTTTCTCAACCTTGGCAGTTTGAAGATTTATGGACTTCACCTCCCAGAATTCCCTACCCATGCTGGCTGGGGAATTCTGGGAGTTGAAGTCCATACATCTTCAAACTGCCACAGTTGAGAAACACTGCTCTATACCCTGCTGAACATCATTTGCATCCTGCAAGTTGGAAACACATTTGTGGCAGCTGCTACCAATTTCTCCAAGGCTTGCTCAGAGGGTCAGTGGGTTTTCCAGAAATCTGCACAGTATCACAAATATATACTTTTGATTGCTTTACAATGGCATATATGTTACAGCAACTGGGTGGGATCTCATGGTGCTGCCTTTCACTAGCAGGTAGAGGTTCCTCCTGCCCTATTATTGCTCATGTGACTGTGGTGGGAAGGGGGAGGAATTAGCTCTGATCATGTGAAGTTCAGCTGAAGTGCCCCCCTCCCACACCACTATTATAAAATATAAAAGAGTCTTTTGCATTTTGAGTTTTGCCTGTGATATGTTAGTCCTGATCTCAGATTCTCTAATTATGAATGTGTTTGGAGACCAAACCAGTGGTTAAATACAGTCAAGCTGGTGTGGCCTGGCTGGTCTTGCAGTCTTTAACAAAACTGAAACAGGTGGCCTGCTGTAGGTCTGATGGACACTCATAGAGGAACATAAGTATTTACTTGACATAGAACAATGACTGGGAATGTAGAGACAGGTGTAAGTGGGCTTTGGGTGAATGTTGCAGACCATCTTCATTGCATAGTGACTAGGGCAACCATTTGATGGCTGTAAAGGGACACAGAAAACTCCAACTCTTTTCTGTCATCTAGTGCTTATCCAGGTTCCTGCAGCCCAAATCCAGTAGCCCTAGCACTGATATAGTCTGCCAGCACTGCTCCCCTCCCAAAGGAGCATCCCGTGCCACTGTTATTGCCATTCCTCCCTGAGACCAGCTTGGATGTACAAGCCCCAGGCACCAGAATAGGTCTGTTCCCTTGAAACTAGCTACTAGCTCTTCAATGACTAATGTTGGGATAGTGAGCCCTCATCTGAAAAGTTTGCTTGGGGGCCAGGGAGCTCTACTAATGCCTTGGACCCAGCCAAATATGTTGAGAGCCAATTTTCTATAATGCAGTCCATGAGCTGCATGGTTCCCTTAGCACTCCATTTATAGCTCCTAGCATCCCAAGATCTTACCACCAAAAACTGGCATTGTAACTCCTGATTTTCATCTGCATTTTTTAAAAAATGTAACTATAGGAAATAGGAACAGAAGGCTTCTGGGAGACAAATTGCTTCCCATCTTTAAACATGCTCCCAAAGTGCCCCAAAGGAGTCCTAAATCATGCTTCAGAATTCTGACCATTTTGCTGCTGAAGTTCATTGTAATTTCAAGCTGTTTCCTCAGAGCTGGATTTTATTAAGGGCTCCTATGGGAAAGGTTTGACTCCAAGAGGCCTTCTCCTCCCTTCCCTCCTTTATAAAAAGAAAATTGAAAAATAAGGTGGAAGAAATGGTCCCCATTTGTCCCAGTATATCACCTGTGGTACTCCATCTGGCTATGGGAGTAAATTGTGGCTGTGATGCAGTAGGATAGGTGTGGCTGAAAAAAGAAGTTGAATTCCTTTTGCATTTCTCTTGGCTACCTTGCTTTGTGGGCGGGGGGGGGACTAGAAATAATGCTCTATTGCAAGGATGAACAACCTTGTGGTGCCACAGGCTATACCTAACAATTGGGGGAGAATGAGGGGCTGTGGCAGTTGGGGCAATTATGGAAAGTAGATGGGACCATGTCACACACACATAGGCAAGGCCAGGATTTTTTTAGGTTCTTCCTTTTTTTCCTCTTTATTATTTTTTTTAACTATTTATATCCTATTTTAGGACTTACAATTTTTGCATATTTCCCATTTGAAAAATGGCCAGAAATGATACAACTTGCAGTTTAGTTTGGAGGGAACTTTGAGGGTCACTTGAAGACCAAATGTGGTCCTGGAGCCTCAGGTGGCCTATCCTGTTCTATTTGGAGTACAATTTTATACGTTTTAGGAAAAGGGAAGTACAGGGAAGGGTTCTTCTCCCACCTTCTCACCAGTCATAGTGTCTTCAGTCTTCCAATCTTCCAAATTATGGCTTCCTCCTTTAAGACTGTATGTTTACCAAAATTCCCTTTTGAAAGTAGTGTAAAAATTCTGAGGCATACTTTGTGTGTTCTTGATTTGCAGAAGAGATGCACAAATAACATATTTTATCAAATTTCACATCTTTGTCTGTTTAAAAGAACCCCAATAATTTGAAGAATTGTGTGAGGTATCAGTGAGGCTCAGTCACCTTCATAAGTGGACTTAAAGACAATTGGGTCTAACTTAGGTTAATCCTTATTATGGGTATATAGTGTGCTCAAAATCAATATCCTGCTTAATTACAATTCAGTGTTTACAAAACAAATGACATTCTGGAAAAATATCTTTACACTGTTTTCTGAAATGACACATACATTTTGCTCTATTGTGAAAGGATGATGATGATGATGATGATGATGATGATGATGATGGGTTGCACAGTCAGCCAGTTGTTTAGACTGGATTTAGAATTTTTATCCATCTATCAAGTCTTTCCCAAGGATTATTATCATCATTGTTGTTGGTCGCACAGTCAGCCAGATGTTTAGATTGGATTCGGCATTTTTATCCACCTGTCGAGTCCTTCCCAAGGACCTGGGATAGGCAGATGTTGTTTGATAGTGTTAAAGGTATTGTTGCAGGATATAAGCTGTTCCAAGTAAATCTGCTTTTTGCATTTGACCGATGGTGATTTTGACAATGCCGATGGTCTTCAAGTGGTGCCCCAGGTGTTTTGGGATTGCACCCAAGACGCCTCTCACTCTTGGTACTATCTTTGCTTTCTTTTGCCACAGTTATTCTACTTCTATTTGCAGGTCTTTGTATTTTGTGGTGGTGGTGGTGGTGGTGGTGGTGGTGATGATGAAGAAGATGATGATGATTTGTTAATGCCTTATTTAAATACCTAGTAGACCTCATCTGTTCTAATCACTTGAGGTATGAAATAATGTAGATCAATTAAACATTAAGTCAAAACAAAATGAGTGTTATAAATCTGCCTCACTTGCCATTGCCGCTATAATACTTGTTTTCCCAGGCCATTTTGGAATGCGTTT